GAAAATAACAAACAAAATGGAGCTTGCTAAGAAAGTGAGGGAAAGCTGACCTAACTACAAAAGAAAACCCGAAACACACGGACTTCGGCGTCTACAAACACCCTAGCGAACCTCCACTGACTACCCAAAACCATACAAGACAAAAGGCACTCACCCGTACTAAACTAGTATGACTAATACAAGAATCAACTACATGTGTGCAAAATGTACCCAACAACCTGAACTAACTCTATACACAAAAGTTCACACAAATACAAGTGAACTATGAATACAAACGAGAGGAGACAAGTAACAGGGTACAAAAAAACAGGTTGAGGTTGATACAATAACAGGTTTGGGCAAGGTTATGGCAAAATAAGGATAACACAAACAAACGAAAGTACAAAGAGACAAACAGAAACCAACAAAACAACAAAGCTGAAGCTATACGAAAACACACACACACAAATCAAAACAACAAACCAACAAAGCTGAAGCAAAATCAGAAGCGAAGCAAAAACCAAAGCCGAGCAGGAGTCAAACGAAAGACCTCTTCCTTCTAAAAACCTCCATGTTATATATTGAATAAGATGAGTTCTGATTGGTCGAGAGTTAATAGAAGATGATGTAATACGGAAACAATGGTGTAATGGTGGACCAATGGGGGAGGGAGAACAATCAAGGTCAGGAAGTGTGAAACAGCAAAAACACACATGGACCACACACTGGGACATAATAGGGACTCTCTTCCATCATCAATGTTCAGCATCCATGTGGATAATGTGACGGCTGCCATAGTGCACCAGTACGCTCATCACAGACCAGCTATCAGTGGGGAAGAGAAAAGAGTGATGAAGCCAGTTCATAAATGGGGTTATTAGGAGGCCATGATTCGTAAAGGCTAATGGGAAATTTGGCCGGGACACCAGTTTAACACTCCTATTGTTTTCAAGAAACACCCTGGGAATTTTTAAACCACACAGAGTCAGGACCTCAGTCTTACGTCTCATCCGAAGGACAGCAGTATCATGTCCCCATCACTATTGTGGGGCATTAGGACCCACACAGAACACAACATGAGCGCCCCCTACTGGCCCCAATAACACCTCTTTCAACAGCAACCTTAGGTCTCCCAGGAGGCCTCCCCTCCAGGTACTGGCCAGGCTCACACCTGCTTAGGTTCAGTGGTCTACCATTTGTGAGTTGCAGGGTGATGTAGCTGCTAGCAAAGACCTGAGTGCCTGCCTGTCTGCCCCCTAGGGGATGTCTTTTGGGACTGAAAGGATTTATACAAAAGTTTGCTGGGCATCAGCTAGCCTCATTCTGTGCCTGTCAATGCAAACTTGCCCTGCACGTACTTCCTACAAGTCAGGAATAATGACTCAGGAGTGTTCCATTGCATTGAGTCAGGACAGTTGGTATCTTGGATTTCTTTCCAAACGTTGCGCGCTGAACAAAAGGCGTTGATAAGTGTGATGTTCTGCAGCTAGTTGTAGTATTTATAACTAAATCCACACTGTGAAATTATTAAAGAAATGAATTACTCCACCTCACAATAATCGATGAGATAGAAACTTCAAGTGATAGTATGCCTCTAACCGGTACCCCTGCAATCCGAACAAATCACAAATAAAGAGGTATATCTATCATACAAAACGGCACAGGAACAATTTTCATTGACTGTGCTGATCGCAGTTTTTATTAAAGCAGGTTAAAAGATCCAAGAAGTATATGTAGAATATTATTTTCTCATATGAAGATGAGTTTTGGAAAATGTCATTAGGAATAACGTACACTCCTTGTATGGTATTTATTGCAGTTGAATAGATAAATAGCAGGCATTATAGTCTGTAATATTTCTCTTAACGCAGTTATCTATTAAAATAATTAGCGTACTTGACAGTCCTGCGTAGAATCTTGATGTTTTTTGTTAACTGTACCTTATCAACTTTCAGAAACGAAGCAAATGAAAGAATTAGTATTGCATGCTTCAGTTTTTGTTCAAATCTGTCAAGTTTACAGATGTAAACATCTGTCTCCAGTGCCCTGGTTTCTGGTTTAATTCCAGTTGAACGGACAGATGGTGGACAAGAAGATTAACCTAGTGTAATCCTTCCTTCATCTGTTTGCGTGCAGGGGAATTCGAGGGAGAAGAAAGAAGGAGCGTAATTCCTGAAAAATTGGACATGCCCGAACGATCAAATGTTTGGTAGAAGCTCCATCTTAAAAAAGAATGAAAAATAACATAAAAAGAATGACAGTATTGTTGCATGTAACAACCAATAACTTGGGTAACTATTTAAAACATCACATCATCATCATCACTTTGAATAACCGCTTATCCATTTCAGGGTCACGGGGCCCCAAAGCCTATCCCAAGAAGCAGTGGGCACAGGGCGAGGGGGACACGCTGGACAGGAAGGATGGAGTCCCATCACAGGACACGCACAGACACAAACACGAACACACCTGGGGTGTTTTTTTACAGAAGCCAATTAATCAACCAGCAGGTCTTTGGACTGTGGGAAACTAGAACACACAGAAAATGTGAACATGGGGATAAATGAACAAACCCCGCGCAGATACAGTAGCACGCCAGAAATTGAACCCCAGGTCCTAGCTGCAACGTTAACCACTCTGCTACCGTGCACAGCTCAGAGTTATGCTTAAATGTATATACAAATTCTAGACAATTTTGTGTATACGAACCTACAGCATGCATTGGCTTGCTTGTTCTTCACTTTCAAACGACTAGGTAAAATGTTGACAAGGATACCTGCCCTGTGCCATAGAAGGAGATGAGCCCCAGTTTGCAGTTCATGGTGAACTCCTGAGTTTTAAACTGTGTGTGGTTGGCCTTTTCAGATCTGTCTTGGGCACTGCACTCCTCAAAAGATTGTCAGGTTTTTATAGGCTGTAGAGGTGCTCCTCAGTATTTACAGTGCTGACAAACTGTCTTGCTTTTCATGCAATATAGATCATGCCGTCTTTTCCTCCGTGTATGTTCATATGTTGCTGCACACCTTTCACACTAAATTCTTGCAAAAATTGTTTTGAAGCTAGTTCTCGTTTTAATGGTTACATTTTCTTATTTTGGAAGTTTAACAAACTTGTGTATGGGCTGTTCAGTTCACACAGATGTTTCAGGTGTGAACAGAAGTGGTGTGAAATAAAGATAAGGATGGGAAGTGCTCCAGTGGCTATTTTATTACTGCTTCTAGATTCAGTTTTTGAGAGTTAGTATCTCTACATGCTTAACATCAGTTTTTGAAAAATAATTCCCAAATATACAGTAAATGTCTGTATGTCAAAAATCCTAAACACTATTACCAGTATATCAACATTATATAATATATACTGTATACTGTATAACACCATAGAAATAATAACAATATTGGTTAGTGAGCTATTATACTGTACATCAGGTTTGATTTGATGCACTCAAATCAAACTACTCTTTTTCCTTTGATACTGAAAAATCAAGATATTGATTAAACGGAGTTTATAACTCAGACGTCAGTAATTCGCAATCACCCCTGACGTCATTTCCTCTCCTAACTCCACCTCTGCAGCTGCCCCTTGGTCACTCCTCACTGTGCTTGGGGATCCAGTCTCCTCGTCCTGTGACCAGGAGGTTGGCACTCAGCCAAGCGGGTCAAGCCAAATGTTATTGATTAAATCACTCCAGAATCCTTTAAGGACACTTAAGTCTTGGGCATTGTGATTCCTATTGCAATATACTGTAGTTTGGTTTTCAAATGAACATGTTTTTGTTTTACTGTAACTGTACAAGGCATTGCCTAAGAACAAACGTGTTGTGGTGAGCTGTAGACTAAACACCAGAGCCAGGGAAAAAGGCAAAATGTAAACGATGAAAGGGACTGTATGTTCATCACAGGGCATGCACACATACTGTACGAGGACAGACCTCAGTTTACCCAGCGTGACTGGGAGGTAGGAAGAAATGGGATCACTTGGGGAAAACCCAGGCAAACTGGAGGAGGTCTAGGGAGAACATGCGAAAGACACCACATTAGGGAATCGAACCTGGAACTTAAGGGCTTTGAGGCAGCAGTGTGTGCCGCCACCACCTGCAGCCTATATTATTTCAATTACTAAAAAGAAAACATTGTAGTGCTTGACGGATCTGTTTCAAGTTTATGGTTGAAAAAGAGAACATACAGTAGTTCTCTTATTTCAAGTTTTTTTGTCAAGTGTAAACAATACATAAAATCTCAGTTTCACCTTTTGACTATCTGCCAAATGCAATGAATGCTGGCTGCTGAATGCATTTTTTATTTTGGCACAAAGCATTGAAGAGTTCACCTTTTGTGTTGTTGAAGTATAGTAGTGCAGAAGCTGCAAATTAATCTGCTTCGAGCAACGAGAAATCAGTTGGCATTGTAGCACAGTGGTTAGCATCCCTGTCTTGCGGTGTTGGGGCCCTGGGTTTAATTCTGGATCTGGGCAGCTATGTGTGGAGTTTGTATGTTCTTTCTGGATCATGTGGATTTCTTGCTGGTGTTCTGGTTTCCTCCCTCAGTCCAAAGACATTGGTTGGTTAATTGGCTTCTGGGAAAACGTGCCTTGGTGTGATGGAGTGTCTGGCTATGTTTGTGTCTGTGTGTGCCCTGTAATAGACTGGCGTCCCATCCAGGGTGTACCCTGCCTTGTGCGTGTTGCTTGCTGGGATGGGTTCTCACAACCCCACAACCCTAAATTGAATGAAGAGCTTAGAAAGTGGTTGGATGAACAATGACAAATTAATCAACTGTACATTGTACTGTAACTGCATTGCTAACTTCATCATGACAGCACCAGACAATACAGAAATCCTGTCTTTTCAAATCTGTTTCCTAATTTCTTCAAGTGGGTAACTGTGCATTAAGATTTGCAGAAATATATCAGCATGGAATAAACCTATTACTTGCTCCTCTTCTAATTACTTTGCTAATTTTAAAATGTAAATATATATAAAGAAACAAACTAAATTGGGACTTGAAGAAGTACAATATTTTTTTTATTTTAATGTAGCAAGATAGGTGTCCATGTAGCAGAATATATTTTTATTCCGTTTTCATACAGAATAAGAAAAAAGCAGGTTAGAAATGTCAAACAATAGTTTCAATAATAAGGGCTGTTTAAAAAATTACCCATTACAACAAGAAACCTAAATCATTAGTTGCATGTGAGGGTAACAAATATTTCGATTTTCCCGTGGGTTGAATTTTGCATTAAAGAATACTACAAAAGCTTTTCTTAGTTTGAGCTATCAAAGCCAGACACATACAGTATATGGTGCATAGTTAAGGCTGTGCATAGCATCAACGTCAGATCTACTTTTTTTTTATTCAGAAGATGAATCACTAGGCAAGATGCTTTATTCCCTTGAAAGTATTATGCTGGTGTGTATACGCCTTCCCAGCTTTGTCACGCAAGCATGGCAGAAGCTGATTACGAAGAAGGGAGAGGTATGTTTGGTCTGCATGGCCTGCAGCGATGGCCAGTCTTGGCATTCTTGGGCCTGAGGGAGTCTGTAAAAGAAAGATATTAGATAAGGGGAAACACACCCTTAATGTCCCAGGTAACAAGTCAGCTGCAGCATCAAGACAAACAGCAGGAGGTTGCACTCAGACAATTGTCTAATAACTTAGGTCTACATTCAACTGTCTGTGACTGTCAGTGACAGAATAATCCAAATGGTCCTGTGCTGTCTCCTAGATCATAGTAAATACATAGTAAAAAAACAAAACAATGTTTTGCAGCTGTCTTATAAAAAAAAATATACATATATATCAAAAACCACCACAAATGGTCACCGGGAACTTCAACACTGTTAAAACCAAAACGGATGTTTCAGTGAATGACTTTTAATCTTGCCATGACAACCAAATCCAAACCATAAATCATAAAATAATTAAAATCCAATAAAAGTCATACATAATGGTTATGGGTAAATAATGCTACCTGCAAGAAGAGATAAGCAGGCACACCTTAGAAAAATGGAACAAATGACTTTTAACTTATATATGTCTCATACAGTTCACACAGAGAGTATTTTTTACTTTTGTTGACACAAGGAAGGTAAGCAAAAAAAATATTTTCACAGGCCAAGTCGAGATTGAAATTCAATACACTAGTTCATGTTACTTTTGTTTTGCTGAAGTCAGGTGCTTCTTAAATATACAGTACAAGAGAAACTGTGAAGTATAAAATCCCAGGTGTATTAGAATAGCATTTAAAAAGTATTCTGTGAAGTCTAATTCTGAAAACATTCGTATGTTATGACCAACAAACCAAGCACCAAAAATATGACCAGCAACTTTTTGGAGCCTTCAAAATAATGTTAAATTTAGTAAATAATTAACAGGCTGTACCCCAGTTTCAAGTAAAATTTAGATCAGATGTGACTCCAAAACTAGCAATTTACAGAAGAATAAACTTTTCAGAATAATAATAATTCAGGGTGGATGCTTAACTGAAAAAGATCATTGATACTCAGCATTATTCACATTTTTTCCATGATGGATTCTGCACTTAACATTGTGATAATGAATTCCAGTAATCCCAATTTCACTTTGATAGTAAGAGAAATCACTGGGGCACTACAGAAATTGAAGTGTTGTGACGACTCACAGGAAAGGATTTTGTGAGGTGAAAAAACGAAGCAGGGAATTTTGTCATTTTGAGTTTTAGCTTATAAAACAGAAGCAATCTCTACAATGAGTAATGAGTAAAATCAGTAAGCAGGAACAAACTCTGTTGAAATAAGCTCTACAAATATGTTTTGAGTGAGTAATTAACTAAGAAAACGAGGAAAAGAGAAAAATAAAATCATTACCATTCTTGTGATGTTTCAGAAAATATTTTTTGCAACACTTGAGTTTTCTGCCTGGAAAAGACATGGGATATTTAAAAGATGTTTAAAAGATAGAATGGAATAGTGTATTAGCTTTAACTATACTGTTACAGTGAGGCTAAACAAATCTAAGAACGTTGTTTCTGTTGAGAAATTAGCCTCAAAGTGCTAAATTGTACCAGAAAATACATCTTCATAAATAATAGACTCAAAATTTCTTTGTATCTGATGGTATAAGCGTGGGAAATCTTCTGAAAAGGTTAAGAAAAAAAAGTATATTTCTAAAGGAATTGGATTAAATCTACTGTATTAAACAAGTCGTAAGCAAATTGCCATACCTTCAAGAAGTCCATAATTATAAGCAATAAAAATATTTGACCATCTTTATGGAGTTTAATTATTTCTTATACAAATAATTACACTGCTGTAAAAGTGGAACTTTTGTTATTGAATAGATAAGATGAACAACAGCTGAACATTCTCTACTAATTTCTTCATGGTTACATTTGTTTTGGTTTTAAAACAATTCACTGCATCTGTGCAAATATGTTTAATATGTTTAAACAGTGTAAGGGCTAAATTTTTTACCCTGTAGAACAAAAATAATAAATTACATTTTAGGGTACATTGTGGGAACAGTATTTATTTTCGGTCTATGCTACCAACATACAAAGTTGGAAAAGGCACGACTAAAGCCACCCTGTCTATAAAGTGTGCTCTTCTCGAATCTCAGAGATTTCAAAGATTGCTTGCTACCATGCCAACAAATGATATAACTCACAGAATTAAAAAGCACAAGTGGACTGCTGAAAAACGCATTTCTAATGTGTTCCGTGTTTCTGATTGTACTCTTACTATTTAGGTAGGATACGTCCAGACACCAAGTGTTTAAGCCTTTACACAAACTGTTCCTACCTTCAGATGAAAGGACAGCCATAGAGAGGATTAACACCAGTCCCAACACAAGGATTGTCTCCCTCTTCATTTTGTCAACTGGTGTGTCGAGAGCTGGAAACTGAGCCTCAATGCCCTCCTTCAGCTGTTTCAGTCTGCGCTGTGTGCTGTGTGGATTTCTCACAGAAGGAGGTGGTGGTTATTTGCCCCAAGAACCAACCTCACAATGTCCTTCAAAGCTGCCTTATAAAGCATGCGTCACACAAGGAAACAAAAGGCAGCCACATTCACAGTCTGCCTTATCTGGAAACCCCTATTAAAATCGATCTAGCAATCCATCTATAAGTGCATTAGTTTTTGATGGCTTAATTATACAGTATCAGTAGGGCCATACATGCATTTACAAATTAGTAACACATGTTCTACCTCTTAAACGTCCCCTGCAGGAGTTTCCATTATTAAGACAACTGATGGAAAGAAGTGTTTATCTAACAAACTGTGGAGTTTGGACTGGTGGAGAAATGAAAAAACAACTTAATTTCTGGAGCTTATTATTCTGTCTCTGTTCTCCTAACAAAGGGAGCTTTAGCCTGACTGCAGTTATGTGGGAAACAGATAACAAGTGGCACAGTGTTCGTTACCAAGTGGAAACTTTGTTCTTCCATTCTCTGTCTCTCCAGATTTGAAATCTCAAATCTGCTGTTTTTAAATACAGATAACATGACCAGACTACAACAACACCATCATTCTGCGTAACCTATATTCTCTGTCTGCTGCTCTTTTACTTTGCCCAAGAACTGTGATGAGCTGAGAAAGAACTTCCTAATAGTGAAAAACAACAACACAGAAATACTTTTTTAAAGTGCAGGAAAGGCTACATATAGTTTGAAAATTTAATTTTAAGCTTAGAAAAACTTAAAAGGCAGAGTAGAAGATGATTAGTGTGGGTTTTAGTAGTTATTTCTTACAATACTAATCATACAAAGTTCAATAGTTTCATGGTTTAGGAAAAGTCTAAAATATTATGTGGATTTATATTTTACAGTTTGCTCAGGTCAGTGTTAACAGCACCTTGAAATTGAGAGCACCTTATGCATATCTTACTAAAAATTACCTCATCAAACACGATTATTAAAAATGTGAAGTGTGAACCCTTATGCTTATGTTCACAAGGACGTGGTAAGACCACGAAGTATCATGAAAAATGTTTTAAGGAATCCTTGCGATAGTAAAGCAAGGTATTCACATGTAGTAAAGTGCAGAGAAGGTGCATAAAAACCCACAGGAAAGCACAGCAAAACTCCAAAACTGTAAAATCACTGTGAAAATGCAAAAAAAAAAATATCAAGGTGACCTTTTAATTAGGTACTGTAGGTAAAGCAGTCATAACAATACTAGAATAGTTTTGATTACAATTAAGTTGGACTATACAAAAAGAGCTCCCATGCCAACTTTCACTTATCATCACTAGAGTCTGGAAGAACATGTCAGATAACACAGGCCAGCAATACTTTTTTCTTGACCAAGAGGATACAGTGCTCTTGTCTAACACTGGATCTCTATGAGCAACAATAGCTATGAGCAAACCCTGCCAGATCTCTCACTTTGACAAATACAGTAGGAGGGCATGCCTTTAAGCTGTTGATTTTAGCTCTGATATACCGTAGCTCTTAGTCATTAACCTCAAGCAATGGTATACATCTCTTTTTAACAGTAAGGGCAAGGCCACTTTATTTATTTTTTTCTTTGAAGGAAAGTCCCCGTAAAAAACCTACAAAGGGACATTTGTAAGAGCATTTGTGCTTTGTTCCCACTACATTCAGCAAGTTCATTGACAAAGTCAGACTGGTCAGACTACTGCACTCTTTAATTATTAATAGAGTGTGGTAAAAAAGGTCTAGTGCAGGGAAAAAGGAAAAGAAATGCCAATGCCAGCTGATAAGGGGTGAGTTGAATTTCTGACCACACATCAATATTGTTACCTTGCTATTTCTTAAAAGTAGGTTGCTATAGGGGGTACTGTAGCATCGAGTCCCTCTGGTGTTCTGCTATTGCAAGTTATTACTGATAAAACTTTCTTTCTTTTCTCATAATGCCTCATAATACATTAGAAGAGATGACAGAAATTTGGAACAAACATAATATGGGATAACATTAATACAGTACGCACAGACAATATGCTTTCATTTACAAAAGACTGATTGTGCAAAATCTTTATGATATCCTAAACGTAATGTGATCTTTTGTGGGAGCAGCTCAGGCTGTGTAAAGGAAGTACAAATTAGACAATTATTTCTTAAGGCAAAATGCTTTCTGTCAAAGAATAATGTCATGTCTGAGTTCTCTGTCCTTTGGCACTTAGTGCCAGTTGGTTTCTCTGCAGTATAAGGTTCTGCTCTGGCTTGTATCACTGTTAATCTTATCTTCTCCATAAAGGCGAAAGTCAAGATGTCTTTGAGAGAGAATGTTTTCCTAACTGTCAAGGTTTCTATGTTTTTGATTATTGGAAATTAATAAGAGATCAGCCTTGAATCTTGGGTTTTAACCTATTTGTCACTCACTGAGATTCCCAGGTTACGGTGAACTGCCAGTCCCAATAAAGCAGAAGAGCACACATGAACGTGTAAAAGTACATATAAAAACATAAGAATGGTTACAAACAAAAGAAAGCCCATCTGGCCCAAAAATTAGTATCTAGTAGCTTATTGATCCGAGAATATTATCCATCTGTTTCCTGAAGGAAACCAGGGTATCAACTTCATTAATATGGGTGAGAAGCTTGCTCGCGCTCCCACGGTCTTTAACATAAAGTAGTGCCTCCTCATCTTACTTTTTAAAGCACTCCCCCACAGTTTTCTCTGGTATTTGTGTATCCCAGTGGCTTCTGGAGGGGTTCACTGCTTCAGAATAAGCCAGACTTTGTTGACACCTTTTTAGGAGTTTGAAGTCATAGAATGCATGTGGTTTGCACTGATTTGAAAGCAGCATTATCTTTTTCTAGCCTGGTGACCAAAATAAAAATATTCCAAATGGAGCCTCACAATTTAATTTTAAATGCAATTTAATTTAAGCTATACAATTTTCATGATTTACATACTGTATTTACATACAAGTCAAAGATTTGTTTCCTCTAGGTCCTGTTGCTCTGGGTAGTAGAGTGGTCAGTGTATTGATAGAGTGTGATATAGGCATGAAATGCAGTTAAGAATCAATTTTAATTTATCTCTGTTGCTGTTTTATTCGTTTCAAGTCCTATGTGTTCTCCATGATTCCATCAGATTTTATTTTTTTTGAATATATTCAAGAAGAATTTATTTCTAAAAAAATAAATGAAGTACTTTGCCAGTAATTGAAAACAAGTTAGAATTACCTCACACCTGTAAGACCAATTATACATCATGTTGATAGCAATGACCAATGATACATCAAGCACCATGTTTCAAAACAGAAGTGTTATTTATAATATCAATAGTATGTAATCTTGACATTGCTGAGAACCCCTTTATAAGTCATAATATCGAGATAAAAACAAAGCTTACAATACCTCAAGATTATGTCAACTTCAGACACTACCTTCAACACTACTGATTTCCTTGAAAGCAACACATAACGAAACCAAAATATTCATCAGTACACCCAGTAAGGAGTGGGGATTTCCTGCTGTTTCATCTCTTCCACCATTTAAATGCAAATCACCATTAAGAAACATTATGGGAAATACTCTGTATTTGTGTCCAAATTCCGGATTTACCACAGCTCTTTGGATTAATGAGAATAAATCACAGGTGATATCACTTTTATGAAGCTGGCCACGCTTGATCAAGGACACACAACACAAACAAAAATCCTGACTCCTCACTTTAGAAATGTAGTTCCCGATACCAACGATATATTTAACATTTTCCCATCAGCCTTTTAGAAATATATTTAAGCTTCTTAAATATCTGTAACTTCTGCTCAAAAGATTAACTTAGAAAGGATCATGCTTGCAGCTGATTATATCTGATGAGAAGAAAAACACAAATACTATTAAAAATACAGCTAACATTGAAAAGCTAGCATGTCACGAATGATACCAATGTAACAAGTTTTCTAACCAATACAATAAATACACCTACAGCCTCTTTTTAAAGGAGTGATTCAGAAAACAGATTGGAGCTGAGCATTGAAGGCTTAAACTTAAAAAGAAACTATACACAGATGTTTGTATAATAATAATATACCAGAAAAAAGCCAACTTCAATTATAACAAATCCTAGTACAGAAATGTTCAGTGGTTATATAGATCATTTGATTGATGTATACCCATGAACTATTATCTTGAGAAAATCATGTTGGCTACCATTAGCAACTGAAACCAGAAAGTTGAAAATAACTGGTGAGCTTTAGAGTGTTTAATGCATCTTAAAGTAAAAATACATCAATCTTCTTCTACAGCTATGTTTTCTGTACAGTTACATAAATTTTGGAGAACATTGACATTGACAGGGTTTGCTTTTAGAACTCTGAAGTGTAAGCTTTAGAAAAGGTATAACATCTGCCTTTTTGCAGAATTTTCAGAGCCCCATGATTGACTTATGTACCATGTACGGTTGCACTAATATGACTGATTCAAGCCTTGTCTGCATCATCATCAAATTGCGGCTGGGACTTCCTCAGTGTCGAATTTAGTGAGAATACTTCTTTTATGTTAACAAGGCACCTATGATCTGGCTCTGGCAGTGACAAGCTCTGATTTGACTGACTAAAAGCGTGACATTATTAGGGGGTGTATACATTTATCCAACTCATTTTTCTAGGTTTCCATTTGTAATTACTTTTCAGAATGTTTAAGCATTTGTGTTTCGCTTGGGGACTGCGAGTTAAAATGTGTGAAGGTAAAATGAATTCTGATCTACTTAGTAAATGTTCTGTCGATACATACAACAGTTCAGTAGTAGTTTATTCTAACAAAGCAGATTTATAAGATATTAAAATGATGTATTACTCTGCTGAACAAAATAAATTTACTATGGATAGTTTTCTTGAACTTTTACCTTCTTTTGCTAGCATAAGCATATGAGATCCAGTTAACATTCCTATTTCAAACTCACAATTGAGCATGGTGTCTTTGTTCTCTTTAATGTCAGAATATTTTTTCATAGAGCCCACACAATTAGAAATGAATAGAACATTTTTCTTTAACACAACACAGATATCTGGAGCTGTTTCAAGAAAACACACAACACTTCTGTCAATGCATTTCTTTATTTCAACCACAGCTTCATAATCGTATCAAAATATTTTGACATGCCAACTCACAATATTTTGAAGTTTATGTTTTTCACAAGCAATTTTATTTTAGGACTGCACAATAAGCTAGGACTATTGCTGGAATGAACACTGTCCGAATATCTGGTAAAAACTTAAATGGATTTGAGTTTGACTTAAATGGATAAAAATAGCCAGAAATACTGATATTCATAACAATTAAGGCTTACTGAGGTACAGACCTCTTTAAAACCTGCAAAATCAAAGTAACTCGGGTAATCGTTTAAATGAACATTTCTAGGGTTTAGATTGCTGAGGTCATCTCATCACAAGTAGTCAGTATTCTTTCCACGTGGCTCCAGGGCAATAGTAAAGGGGTGCCTTCAAGTCTGATGATCGTATTGCAATCACATCACATGGAAAATAAATGATTCCCTTAAAAATGAAAATTATTTTATGCTAACACATATGTTCACCACATTTATTAGAAGGTGTCTTTGAACCATGTGTACTTCCAGTGCTGTTTTTGCAGCCTTTAGCATATTTTGAAAAACAGAGCACAAAAAATAGGAGAGGGATGAAAGACTCTTATTTCCTTCGGTTGCCTCCACCACCAGCCAGAATCATCACCATTCTGATGAAGATATTTATAGTGTCCATGTATATTCCCAAGCATCTAGATTTCAAGGTTGAAGAGAAGAGAACATTACTTTTTTCATTAATTTGCAATATGGCACTCCATATGTTTAAATGTAACAAACCTAAACCCACTCAGTTTAGTACTAATCTTGTTAGTAAAAACGTCTACAACCCTAGCTGATCTTGGTCTGTGAAACCAGCCTTAAAACTTCCATTTAAGTTCTTGTACCAACATGCACTTTTTCACAGAACAACCTTTGTAAAACTGTGATGTAGGAGGATAATAACTGGCAAATGGCCACAGTTTCACTGAAAAGCCAGTTTTGCTTTCCTGCTATTCCTGAAAAATAAACATTGCTGTTCTGTTCAAATGTAGAAACAAGGACCAGAGCCGAAAAACACAGTTATGGCAAAGTTTGTAAATCACAAAGCCTCATTAATATTCTTTTCCTGAAAGGAGAACTAGAGGATCAGGTTTCATCAATCTCTAACCAAATTAACGAGAAGTTCCGGTATAGTACAAACCCAAAGCATGCCTCGAACCTGTGCAGACACTAAAGAAAGTGTGGTTTCCAAAACGTCTGGCTGCCCAGTTTAAGGATATCTTACCCATCAAATTCTTGTAGGATTAATTATACAAAAAAGTTCAAGAAGTAATGCCAAATAATAAAATGTTAAAAGTGTAATGCATTAACAGTGCCAGATATTCAATTCAGATTACCACTTTAGTCTGGGAAAGCTACAACCTGCAAAGAAGTAACTTAAGCTCTATACTATGTCAAAGTCAGAGTAAGAAAAAGTCAGAGCTACAACATTAAAAGTTAACTCAAATAGAGATATAGTTCAATCAAATATTTTGTAAAATAAAAAAAGCTCATACATATTACATTATTTCGATTCTGGTACATATAACCAAGCTAAACGTATTAAAGTATTGTAGCCTTATAAAAAAACAAATATCGTACATAGCAAAAACCACCATATATACTTACGAATTAATGGGATCATATTTCTGAACTCCATATACAGGGTAGGTTTCAGCACGTTTGATAACTTTCTGTGTATCATACAGCAGGAACATACTAAACAGAATCAGACCACCATAAACAGCCACTGAGTATAGACCCGCCCCAAATGCTGAAGAAGGGGGTAAGAACATTGAACCTAGAAAAACAAAGATACATTGTATTGTAATGCAAGTAAACTTGAAACTTGAAACTTGAACGTGAAAAGGTCACACTTGCGCTCAGGCATTTTCCAAGTGATCTGAAAGCTGAACTCATCCATTCATTCCACTGACATTTCCCCCCCCATGGACATGTTACAACGACAGCCTGGAAATATCCTAGGATTCACTTACTCAATAAGTCAGTTATTTAGTGATTTCTTAAACAATGAACTGAACTAGTGACCTGAATTTAATCATTATTTTCCTGTCAGTAGAATAAAACAAAAAAGACAACAGCATTCTAGATCAGGCCAGGCCCACAGACTTCATCCGGTAGCTCCTGTACGCCGCAGACAACGCCAGCAGCTCTGGAAGCCCGGGCGTCTGTCAGACAAGCTCCGAGGTGCAGGACCACACCAACACATACTGCAGCACCACCCTCTAGTATCGTCGCTCAGGAAAGATTTATCCTCAAGGACTGTTTTTCTAAGTTTGTTTACTGAAACCATATATTGGAAAGGACTGATTTACGGCTTCGTTTGAAGAGAAAAGGCCATTTTTCAGATCATGTTAAAAAAAAAGAAGTTCTCAACGGCAAAAACCGCGGCACTTGCTCACCCAGTGACGAGGCGAAAACCACGCCAAAGCCCACTGCCAGGGGGCCTCCCATGTTGAGGAACTTCTCACTGGGGGCACACATGGCAACGGTGGACAGCCCTCCAACGATGCCTGCTGTGTACCAGGCTGCTCGCATTATCAACGGCCCTCCCAGGAGAGTCAGAGGAGCCACCACTGCACCCATTACACCTTTAGAAAACACACATCGGGGGAATCAAACCATGGGGTTCTCCATATCATTCAAATAGCTTCACACAGATCTATTTCTGATATATTTCTGATGGGTAGACTTTATTAAAAGGTGTGGTATCTCTGGCCTGAGATGCAGTCATGTGAGGTGAAAGCTTTTTAGCTGTGCCTAGACCTTCACTGGCACAAACAAGAGCACTCTTTGGCTAACTAGCTGATTTTATTTCAAACAATTGCTTTTCACAAAAAATACATTTATTGAGATTTAAGTTTAAAATAGATAAAACTTAAGTTTGAAATATTAAAATGTTCATGAACTCCTTTGAATTAAATAATTAAAATACAAACTAATTAACTTTTTCCCTCTAGTGTCCAAAAACGAATACACACCTGTGGTGCTCTATGTAATCTTACATATTCTACTGCCCTCCTGTGGCACACTGTGGTATTGCTACATAATCTCTTCGAAAGCACTACAATTCTAGCAAAAATTTCCCTCTGATAATGCTAAACCAGGAGGTGGCTCAAAAGCACTATAAAAGCCATCTGGGAACATTTAATACAAATCTCGTTTAAGGATTAATCATAACAGAATTAATGAGGAGTTTTACTTGCAAATCTTGAATGTATAACTGGCCAAGATATTCTTAATTGTAATATGAACACACAATATGGTTTTGGGAGCAAAGCGGTGGCTCTCTGGCAAAGGATCTGCGCCTGTGGCTGGAAGGTTGCCGGTTCAAATCCAGCAGCCGGCAGAGGAATCCTACTCTGTTGGGCTCCTGAGCAAGGCCCTTAACCGCAGCTGCTCCAGGGGCACCGTACAATGGCTGACCCTGTGCTCTGACCCCAAGCTTCTATCTGTCTGTGAGTCTCATGGAGAGCAAGCTGGGGTACGTGAAAAGACAAATTCCTAATCCAAGAAATTGTATAGGGCTAATAAAGTGATCTTATCTTATCAATAGATAGAAATTCTAACTTTATAATAAGAGTAAGAACTCTTACCGGCATACAATGTCCAGGCAAGGTGCTTGGGGACTGGGCTCTGCTCATAGGATATTGATCTAACTAAAATCCCTGCACCTATCATGGCTGCAAAGGTTGCACCCATAGCCTACAGAAAGGAAACAAATAACTTTAAAATAAAATAAGAATGAATGACAGTGAGTTTCCTCCACCCTTATATGTAGTGTTTAGTAAACAGTTAAAACCTGGACCTTTGGTTTAAAACTCTGATCAGGTCTGTGAATACATCAAATAAATATGCTCAATATCAGTATCTTTAATTGCGGAAAAAAAAATTGTATACTTGAGGTAACGAACTTGAAAAGATTTATTAAATAGTTTCTTGACATCTAACCAAGATAAGTTACTGACAGCATGAAATGAAGCTTAAAGGAAGACAAGCAACATTAAACATCAGAGAACAAACCTCTACATGCCTTTGTTATTATACTCCACAGAATGACATAAAATACATTGCAAAACCTTGCTTCTATACGAGAAAAATGTGGGAAGTAAATTCTATGTAATGTCAGACCACACCAACAAGCAGATGTTTTTGGCACAATTACCCATTTGTTCAACAGAACTAAGGAACATCTTTTATAAACTGACCACATTCTTATTCACACAGAAAATTAATTTTAAAAACAGCAGCAGCTGATACTTCTTACCAGCCAAGAGCCCTTCATCATCAGACCCAACAGTGCAGGAGTTCTGCTAACAGCTACAGCAGACAATGCTGTGATTCCCACACTTCCAGCAAGGTACATGTATGTGGACTGGATTCTGTCCTTAACATACTGAGGCCAAATACTAGGGACAACAAACAAATACCAATAAATAACATATACGTGATCAGCTGTAAATATAAATGTGCAGGTGTTGCTATACTTGTTAAGAGACAAATTAGAGAGAATATCCTCTGAAAGATGGCAGTTCTTGAAGTGCTGAGAAATGCTAGGATGAACTGACTCTCAGTCCCAGTGTCAAGGGGCAAGGTAGCGAACTGGCTTGCACTGCCGCCTCACAACACTGGGGCCCTGCGTTCAATTCCAAACGTGGCCCTGGTGTGAGTGTGTGCATGTTTGTGTCTGTGTGTCCTGCAACAGACTGGGCGTATTCTGGCTTCTGCCCACTGCTTGCCAGGATGGGCTCCAACTCCTCAGCAAAACAGAGGCACGGCTATTCCAGTGTCACCAAGGGGTGAGAAGTCTTATGTCATGTGCTAAATATATAATTTCACTTTGTGAATCTAGCATTTCGAAAGAGAGCAAATGTTTAAATACCTCTGCTGCTATTAGATGGAAAATTCGAGATGTCAATGACTGGGACACTTACACTGCTTTTTCAATGGCACCAATTTCATTTGACATTCCAAGCCCATAATAACACAAGGCTCCGAGGCCTACAGCTGCTCCACCAGCAAGAATTATTCTCCCCATGTTATCGACTGAAAAATGAATTAGAAAAACAAGTTACAAGTGGCATGCATTCACATCCTATTAAATTAAATTTCACTTTTAACTGATTATTTTGTTTCCTTCTTCACAAGGAACTGATTTACATACAAATTATAACTATAGAACTGCCAAGCAGACAGAATTTATATATTAATATTTTGTAATACCTTTACCCCCTTTTTAAAGAATTTTGTATCATTTTTGTAATTTTGTTGTATATAACGTCCCTTTTCCAAAGCAAAATTAAAATGACACCTGACCAATCATTTAAACTTCCTCTTAAATGTATCAATTGCTCCCCCTTGTGGGCTAAATAGATAGTATGTGAAACAGGCAGATCAATCGTTTATTTTGAAAAATCACAAATTACCTACAACTCAAAACACTAATTTAAATATTTAACAAAGCTTGCTAAGAAAAAAAAGGTGACCACCAAAGCAGAACTTTTGCCAGGACACTGGGTGGGCTAACCTCCTTACACTAACAAATCATGACCATGTCTAATGACAAATAGTCAGGACCTTGGTTTTAATTACTCATCTGCAGGACAAAACCTACAGCACAAAGTCCCCAGTCAGCATACTGACCAGAACCAGTCTTGCTTAGCTTACCAGATCTGACGAGATCAGGCTACAAGATAGTCTGTCTGAAAAGTAATACAAATTGGATATTTTCTGAAATAATGGTGTGTTTTGAAATTAAAAGCTGCAAACGTACAGTCTGCATCATTTCCTTATTTAGCATACATATAATTACTGTGCAGTAATGTATAGAAAACAGAGCTAAAACTGAATCACTGGGATTACACAACTCTCAAAATGTACCAGCTGGATTCAACTAGTATACTAACAGGAAGGAAGTAAATCTGTAACATGGAACTAAGAGTAATACTTCCATTTAATTTTTAATTAAAATATATTGTTTTATTATGTATTTTAAATGTTTTTAAAATGTTCAACCTCATTTAAGCCTCATTGTTAACTGCAGATAGCACTGCTGTTTCAACAGTATATTTTTATCAACCTTGAACCTGACAAAGTAGTCAGAAGACATCACATTTAGTTCATGAATCAATCAATGTAAGAGACCAAACCAAGTATGTACTGTTCATAAAATGAACCCAATCTTATTTACCACATAGAAACATTAAACAACAGTGTGTCTTATATGTGTAAAAAGCTTTCAAAGAAATTCAAAACACTCATGAGTAAGTATAACTTAGGAAAACAAAACTGTAAATACAGTACTTTTAACTGCAGTTTCTGTTGCAGGCTCAAAGGCTGCCTCTTTGAGTTGCTCTTTTGCAGACTTGCTGCGCCGGAACCCAAATCGAGCTTTGGTGGCATATTCCTGGTAAGGAGAAATAGGCAAAATTAAGTAAACTTCACACCTTTTATTTGTGCACATCAGTATGTTCACCTTATAGCCAAGCCCCCCAAAAGGAAAATAAATAATACAGCACTAACAGACATAAATGTCAAGGAAATCTTATCCACAAGACTGAATCACTGGGATTCATCAGGGATGCAGAAACAGACTGTCAAAGTATCAGATGATAATAAAATGGTTTATTCTATGCAGTACTTCTAACAACATGTAACATCCCAAACTGGGGTATACACCATGTAAGATCTCAGAGGTTAACTGCAAATTATACCAATATCGTTGACAAAAATTATAACCACAACCGTTGACAAAAAGAATGTCTCCACGGCCGAAACATTGTGTTTTCTTTCTTCTCTTTTCAGCATGGAATAAACCTTATTTACATATTACTTGTTCCTTTACAACCAAATACATTGCGCAGCCTTGTGGAGCACTAGCTAAGCTCTGGACTACTGGACAGGACATCCAGGAGGATGGGGATTAAAATTCATGGTGGGGGGGCACTGGGGCTCTCCCCTCGAACAAGATGCTTCAGTTCGACTGCTTCACTAAAATACCCAGTGGTACGAATGGATAAAGATGTACATCTCTTTGGAGAAATGCAGCAGCCAAATGAACCATTCAAGATCTCCTGTCAACAAAGATCATTACTGCTGGAAGGAAAAACTGCGAAGTACAGCTGGGTGGGTTATGGTCTCACCTTGCAGGGCTGGAGGAAGGATTGACTTGGCTTCAGGCTTGGAGTCCTCAGCGTATTAGTCGTGTGGGTAAGAGCTGAGCGAAGCCCTGCTGCCGGTAAAACGCGCAGACATGCCAGCCTCGCCACCAGCATTGTTTTATTCTTCCCTGGAAAAGTGGTAACGCAAAATCCAGTGAACCTGGATCTCACACACACACATCACGTATCGTGACACAACCGGACACTGCATAAAGAGCTTTGTGCCGCAGGACTTCATGATGAATATAAAGATTCTCACAGCGATGGACAATCCCATCCAAGGTGAATCCTTTTTTTTTTTGCTCACCCTTTGTTTTAAAGGTAACGACATTTTTATCCTAGTCATTTTGCTCTTTGAACCAAATTTGATTTTTTTAAATGTAAACAGTAGAAATTCTTTGTTAAAATCGAAAGAAAATACAGAAGCCGACGGAAACTACCAGAAATTACCGAACGTACCGGTACGGTCTAAAACGTACCATGGTACTGTACCTCGTAACTAAAGAGCCGCGCACCTCTACCACTTAGGCCAGATTCTTATATTTGCCTTGCACTATATCAACATATAAGTAAAAACAGTTTATTGCATCTTAAGGATTATGTGATAATTATCTATCAAAATTATTTCATAATCCATAATGCTACTGAACATTATTTTTCCGTCTCAGCCTAAACACTAAGTAAACCAATGACACTCCCGAGGATTTCTGAATACCAGACTTATAGTTTAAAATAGCTTGAATTACAACTATTATTCTTACCTAGCAAAAAGTAAAAAGACACCTTAAACTTCTAGATTACTGGGTTACATAACTAAAACTAAGGTTACGTCTCGATTGATGTTCCAAGAAAATATAAAAATGTTTGAATCATTAGTCTACCTTGCTTTGCAGTCAGAATCACAATACCTTTTGCTAACAAAGCTGAAAGTAATGTTCACCTCCACAAAGTATAACGCTGTTTTCGTCTCTTCAATATTACGGCTCTTCTCACCTTTAATGCGCACCAAAATACCACACTGATGTAATCAGCAGCAACCTTCCTGAAAGTTCTTACTGATTGCGTCATCAAACAGCGTCGGTCTCGCTTTGGATTCTGGGAGTTGGCGTGTTTAGGCTTTAAGGTTCTTTTTATTATACTAGGATCCTAAAGCCTGTTCTGGTTGATTATATAACAAAATACAAATAAGTAAAAGACGTGAATTGTATAAATTATCCGTGCCAGTTTATTGTGTTTATTGCACTTTTTCAATGAAACCAAATCGCATTGTTGACAACAAACACAAGATGGCAGTGTTATTTCCTGCATTGTACATTAAGCCAAACCGTGAAAAAATGAAAATGAACTGGTTTGATGTAAATAGCTTAATATGTAGCTCGTAAACCAATTGTACAATAAAGTCGAATGCAAGGGGGGGATTTCATACTGGAAGATTCATACTTTCATTCCTGGGTGAAGATGCAGCAATTCGTATCTCAATAGACGCCCATTCTTGTCTTATTTTTACATTAAAAGCATAGAACGAGAGCATCCTCATAACAGTGTCATTACTATAAGCAAAATACTACAGACGCTACTTTAACAACTTGTACATTTTATATTGTTGATGCGACCATCCACTGAAACAAAAACAGTATCAGATGATAGTTCATTTTCTTGAATGAAACTATGTTCCTACCCTGCAGATGTGAAAATGTAAATTTTACTTTAAATAATTCAGACCGTCAAAAGACGATGTTCTAGGCCGATACAGGTTATTAAAACATAAATATTCTTACTCCAGACGCGGAACATCAGTAACGAAAGACAATATCGGTTTGGAAAAACGTTTGTGTTCCGTAAAATCGAAATAAAAAAAAACAATAGTTTCCAGAAGGAGAACGCGAACCATCTTCTTTGTATATATTGCAAAGAATACATCGGTTATTCCATTTCATAGTGAATTTCAATTGTAAATTGCAATCCTGCAGGTAAATGTCATAAGGAACTGAATACAGTACGTACGATAACTTTAGTTCTAGTGTAGGTATTTTACTCCCAACGTAAATTCCCCACTGTCATTGGCTCTTTGCTCTTTGTCCAGATACAAACTCTGTGGAACTCAAACCTGGCCACGTTCACATCTCTGCAGGCAGGAGGCTTAAAACCTCTTAGGTGTTTGCATTTCTTTAAAAGTGGGATTTTGTTTAAAAAAAGGCAAAGGTGGGTTTAAACCGTCTTGTGGGCCATGAAAGGCCAGCACAAGACCCGACCTATAACAGTTCATTCATTCAACAGTGGGATCCTTGTTTAGAAATTCAAATTACCGGGAGGGACGGTGCGGTCACGTGGCTCGGTGTCTGAGGAGAGCCCGGTTTCGGAGTTCAGCTGAGCATTTGTTGGAGGACGAGAGTTCGCTCAAACGTGGTCTTCAGTGTATGACTTCAATCTTGATAGACTGGGGAGTAAAGAGACTATTTTAAACTGATTTGCCCTATGTGTTCCTTACAACGCCTTTAAACATATCTGTGGCGCATCAGCCAACATCTAAATCAGGATTTGGGAAAAAAAAAAACTTTGGTGAGGGTTTGATTTCTTGGTTACTCTTTCCCACTGTGGAGTTTGCTCTGTAATCGCTGCAGTGAAAATGCAGCGCTCCTTCTAATGGACGTGGAAACAATTCTTCTGATAGAATAACGGAAATTGGTGTCCGCACACACAGAGGTTCAGCTTTTTTCGGAAATACAGGAAAATGAGGGATGCAACGGCGCACGTAGTCTTCTGCACCAATATCTTAAATTACTCTACAGAGTGTGGTCGTGTAAGTATTTGAAACTTTTACCGTGTCCTTCATTTAGCATCAGCGTTAGGCAAAGGTTTGTGCAACAGCATGTTGTTACGGTATGTGACTACACGTTAGTAGGATTGAAAGCATTTATGCTTGTCTTAATGTTACTGTAAATGATACTATTACCACTTCTATATTTGTCGCAGAATAAATTGATATGGCAACGTATGAGAGGAAGTCTATGACTTTGACAAGTTTTCAGTACCTAATACAAGGCAGGAAAGACGACAAGGTATGTACTTTAAAGTGGGCAGGAGTGAGGCTTATAGCTCCGTTAATAACTAAACTTTTTAATTGCTAAAACTTTATGGTGTAGAAAAATAGAAAACCTTCTTTTTAATAATGTAAAGAAGACTTCAAGCTGACCACACGTGCCTGAGACCCAGATCACAGCCCGATTGGGTGTCGGGAGATGCTGAGCCGAAAGAGAGACCAGAGATTAAAAATGGATGAACCCGGTGTACAGTCGGTGACGAAACTGTCTGCGTTATAGGCTCTGAGATGTTCCAAACCGCGAGTGTGTGATGCAGTGTGATGGGTTGGTTATTTAAAAAAAAAAACTAATCCGCGAACACGAAAGCTTGCCTTTTTAAAAGCCGCTGATATTGAGTTTCTGTGCGGTTAAGCATCAGGTCGTATTAACAGTGCACTGCTGTGCTAGGGTTCTCACAGCTTGCAAGGTAGCACATATTGCACATCACCATATTTTGCTATAGCACTGTGTGCTTCATGTACATTATATGCAGTTTGTTGAGTTTCATTGGTATTCGGATTTAGTTTTTTTTTTCGGATTGATATTACACTTCCAACTTCGGTGAGCGGTTTTTCAGCGGTCTTTGCAGAATTATTTTTATAAAACAATTATATTAAAAAAGTGAATGAATTAATAACTTATTAAAAAAAACAGTTGCAGTACTGTATAACCCTTCTCCCTTGTCTGAATTACAAGTCAGAACCGTATGAAGTTTCACTCCATTGGTATTCGGTGACTAATTCTTAAATACCAACCGGCGTGGGCTACTTTTAGGTTTATTCTTGTTTAAACACATAGTTGGCGTTGTTACAAAAGAGCTCTTAGTTCCTGCGGTGTAAGAAATTAGGCATGAATATAGTAGCATTTTTTATTCCTGCTTGCTAGCAAAATAATGGATACAAAAAATATCTTAATTTTGGCCCGTCTTATCTTGGGTAATAATAACAAAAGTATAACGGTTGAGACAAGGTTAAAGAAATTTCGAAAGCCAAAGAGTGATTCTTTTGTGGTTTTGTAGCTTTATAACATTGGGCAACTGCTCAGACCGGTTTCACCCTGTTTGGCTTCCCAGTACCAGCTCCATATATACCCCTGCCGCAACCACCAAGGCGGTGCCGCTGATTGCTGTCCGTGGGGGTGGATGTACTAAAGAACAGTGGGGACTCGTGGGTTCAAAATGATACGCTTTTAAGCTTTGCCAGACGCTAAACATGTTTGAATTTGGCTAGTATCAGCTTGGGTTTCGGACTTTCAAACAACTCTGAAGAGGAGAATGAATAATTATAAGCACCACTTCTTGGACAAAGGCGGAGAGGGCAATGTTTTTTTACACTTAAGATTCTACTTAATTTATTTTTTGGCTGTAAGATAAAGACATTGGGGAGCAAAGATACACCTTTTGATTGTTGCTATTGACTATAATGCATTTCACACCGCTCTCCTTAAGGCTGGACATCTTCATCCTCAATCCTTTCCTTCTTGGCTCGTCTTTCCTCAGAGGTGTTACTAGACACAATGTGCCCGTGGGGGTTCGCGTCCTGTAATCAGAATTGCCGGTGCTGCTGAATAGATGTTAATGCGGGAAGGTGGCCTATGCAAGTGATAATGTAGCAATTGAACAGGGAAAAAAAATGCGAATCTTACGCATCCAACTTGAAGGGTTTTATCAGGATAAGGAAAAATGCGCTCTTCAGTTCAAGAGAAAGGAAGACACTGTACAGAGTGGGCTGTGAAACCACGTTTTTGAAGTAGATACCTTTAAGTTAAAACGGGATGAGCTACAGTACTTAACATAGCTATTAATAACCAAATGTTTAGTTAACGGGGGGGGGGCTTTTGCTGTAATTTCACCATCCTGTTTTCCATAAGAGGTCCCTGGTTAGTTCTCCACAGTGGGTTTCCTTGTCCATTCTCTGTATCTCTCTTCACTCCCCTAGGGAAGCCACAAACCCCTTTGTCCTCTTATTCTTTTTCGTCTTTTTGTCTAGTATAGTTTTCAGTTATTTAAATCTCCATGGAAAGAGTGTACATTTTTGGCCTCGTGTCGTTCTTGAAGTCCGGTATTTATGCAATGTTAGTGTCACTGAACCAAAATCTGCAGCTCTTAGAGAGTCTTCTGCTCGTATAGAAATACAGATTATAAGACTATAGACTGTAAGAGACTGGACTATAATTGCCTTGGACTTAAGCCTCTTTTTAAAAATAAAGATGTAGATGTCATAAGCCACAAGTTGTACTCATTGTGTACAGTATTAGTTTATATCAAAATTGTCAATATTTCTAAGGCAGGTGTTGTGCTACACTGCTGTTAAGGTTAGAAGGCAGACAAAGGCAACTGTGATCTTAAATGTCCGGTAAATGGATAGCACAACATTATGTTTTCTACTCTGAAAACTGCAGCTTTTACAAACACGTATAAAATAGTGTGGGAGTTTTTTGGTGGTTTGTTTCTTGATTTATTGCTAGATTGATTTTAAAGTCTGTTTTGTGTGCAAATCTAGAGCATATTGAGGCTGGGAGGAATATTAGTATTCATTCTAATATTCATATTTTTTATTAATATCAGTAATAAGGTTTCCCTAAGAACTATCCTTGTGCTGCTGTACCCACTAAGCCAATATTATAGCATCCTTTGTTTCTTAAAAAGACATTGAACCATGAGTGAGTATAATTTGTTACAAGATAGTGAGCAGAATGATGGTAGTTTCTGCTTGAACAGATCATCAAATTCGTCAAATGCTCCGGTGATTATTGAATATTTTAAATCTGTGTTCCAGTGCTGTAAGTGACAGGCTGATGGACACAGCATAAGCCTTGATAATTAGTTATATTTACTTATTTGCAATTAATCATTGACTGCTACAATATGGTGCTGCTTTTGATTTATTTTTAGAAACAAATCAATTTGGCATGCTCTGAATCAGGTTTTAGTTTGCACAGCTAGTGTGCAGCCTCCAAGCCTTCCTGTCTTGCAAAAGCAGAAGTCAGATAACATTTGGCTTTGTTTAAATCAAGCATTTGTTTTTGGTCAACAGAAGCTTCTTGGCAAACCAGCTATTTTACTGTGTGCTTTGTATAGCACACCATTGACATGATTTGCACTAGTTTGGTGGTTCAGAATCCTTTCCAATTGCGTACTGCAAAAAGGGAGCTGAAGAATGTCCAATTCTGATGCGGTATATAATGTGTGTAAGGCTCTTTGTGACAGAATCTGGCAATGACATCTGTAATACAAGGGAGGTCTGTTTTTATTTGATTAAAAACTGATTTCAAGTCCTGTGTTTTCTAAACTTCTCAATGAAATTGTAAATCAGAAATTGGAAATATAAAAAAATAGAATGGTTATTTTATTATGTTTATTCCTCCCCAAAGTTGCTCACTACTGACTTGTGTGCTAGCACAGGACATGTGAGGGACAGAATTGTGTCTCCTCTGAAATATGTACTTGTCAGAGCCTTCTGTCAGGTTTCATGAGTCCCAGTATTGCCTACCAGAGAGCTGGTGTAGACTAGAGGACTGATGGCACTGTGAGCTCACCAGGTGTCTGGCAAGTGACAGGAGATTGTGTAGCCAGAGATTGGAGTTGAAGCACCCAACCCTGGCAGTACTTGCTGTTGCTGAGTGTAATTGTATTAGAAGTTACAGCTCAGTTTAGTGCAGTTATTAACAGACAGCCACCCAGGGAGAAAAACAAACGTAGTACCTCCTCTGTTCTGAACACAAATGCTTCCAAAGGAATTTTATAAACTGGGCAAGGCCCTGGTCATCCTCTTATGTTCTCATGAAGTTTGCATTTGGGTCAAGGACACGGCATATATTGAAACATAATAGAAACAGTTTCTATAGAAAGTCTGCACACCCTTTCCAAAGTCTCATATCATGTAGTCTAATTTTACTTTTATTTACACATTGTAACACTACCTCCAAGTGCAAAACAAATGCTGAAACATTCTGAAAAGTAATTACAATTGAAAACCTAGAAAAATGAGTTGGATAAAATATATTAGTAATATCATACACTAGTTTAGTCAGTCAAATAAGAGCTTGTCACTACCAGAGCCAAACCATAGGTGTGTTACTTGCCTTGTTAACTTTAAGGAAATATTTGACCTCAATTCTACACACTAGGAAGTCCAAACTGAAATCAGATGATGATGCAGACAAAGCTTGAAACTGTGTCAGTACTACAGTGCATTGTCAATCATTCTACAGTACATAAGTCAATCACTGAGGTACAAAAACCTGCCTTCCTGGAGTATGTCATACCTTTTCTAATACTTAAACATTAGAATTCTAGAAGCAGACCCTGCCAAAGAAACTACATTCTCCAAAATTTATATAGCAGTGAAATATTTTTACTTCAAGATGCTTCAAACTCCAATTTCAAACTCTAACACCAATTGTTTTCAGCTTTCTGGTATCAGTTTCTAATGGTAGCTAATGTGATTTTTTTTTGCAGAGCAAATGTCTTTAGGCTGTACATTGAATATCACACAAATAACGTTCTCCATGAGAAGCTTTTTGTTCTTCTGGGCACACATTCAAGTTTTCTCTGGAGACTGTGACGTTTAAGACCAATTATGGATTTCTTCCCCAAGTGATAACAAACAGGCAAGCTTAGAGGAACTGACAATTTGAAGGTTTGCAGCTTTGTATTAGAATACTGGAAGATCCATTACAGAGCAACTTTCTGAGAGGTCTTCTGTGCCTGTGCAGTGTA